TGGAATCCAGCAATAGACTTGTGAATGCATTGTTAAAATGAAATACACTTGTTTTGCTCAGAACAGATTTCTTAGGAAGCATGCCTATCTCCTTACATAATTTGTTTCAAATAATTTAATAAATTCAGCCACTAAAGTAAGATCTGAATAGGTGATTCAATTCAAAATGCCGAAATAAAATTATTGCAAATAAAGAGACATACAATTACACTCATATTCAGAAAGTGTTTTGTGATTTTGATGAAGACTCAGAAACAAAATATTACTCTTAATGGCTTAAACAGTGCATTTCTTTTATTTCTTCTCATTATCTCTGACCTGTTTCCCCTTCTTGCATGCTGCTACTCACATCTTTGCCATACATATTTGAATGAGATTATGAACTTATGATTTTAGGAGATAAACATACATATTAGAAATAATATTACACTGTTTATTTACACATTGTAATCTTATGCTTATGAACAATAAACCTTAAAAATAAAGATCTGCCAAATAGGTACTATAATATACAATAAAATGCATTAAAATGTATAAATAGAATAATAAGATTTGGGGAATTTAGATACCAAGCAGTTACTTATAAAATACCAATGAAATAACTCTGGGTTAATTGGCATAATACTGAATACAACAAACACCATATATAGTAAATGGACAGGGAAGACTTGCACAGGCTCTGATGGGAGCCACTCTGCACTGGTTCTGATCATAGATTGGTGCAAGTCAAAGGCCTTCACTTAATTCTTTAAGGCCTTTAATTCTGCTAAAGGATTTCCAGGAGAAATTCAGAGGCTATTATTTTATTATTGTAAGATTTTGACCTGGAATGGGTGTCATTCTTTTATGCAATGAATAGTTAAGCTTTTCCTCCTTACCAGGGATAATGTTTGCCTAATACTGGGATCAGAGTTGAACATGAAACTTAATTAGCTGAGTGTTCACTGAAATGAAATGTGGTGCATTCCCCTAAATAGTCATGTGTAGGTTTGCAAACTTAGAATAATCGAGCCAGTACAGTGACTGTCTGTGTTGGCTGTGAGAGAGCTCAGAGTTTAACTTTAGTGATTACTTGCAGATACATAAAATGTCATGATGCACTTTGTACTGACTTGACCCTTGGTCCATTTGTTTTCTTCTGTCTAATGTTTAACCTATTTTAACTTATGTTAATTTATGTAATTTATGTTTTCTGTGGCATATTAATCTTTGTAACTCATGCATAGAGACATAATCATATTTAAGGGTTCCCCAACATACATATGTTCTATAAATGCTGCCTCAAATCACTGACATTAGTTATCTCAAGTTTAATCCCTAGAGTGGACGTGAAACACTAAGGATTATCTAATAGTGTAAACTAGGCTCAATGATTTCTACAGCGTGATAAGTTTTCCCTCACATTTACGAGTTGTCTTCCTGCCAAAGTGTCGGAATGTTTTTACATAATCCACACTACCACTGTAGTATAAAGTAGAGCAATAAGAAAGACCCCCTTTTAAAGGCATTGTCTGACACAGATCTGTGCAGAAGCAAATTAAGGTGATTTCTGCTGTGCAAATACAGTTGAAAGACAGTCTGCCTGTTGTAGGCAGTTCCTAAGGCACTAAGTCCTCAGCAATGAGTTTCAAAAATTATGGAAGGATCTATTCTGATTCTGTTGTGAATGGCTAAGAATCCAGAAGCTCAAAAAGAAGAGGCTCCAGGCACATGTGAGCTGAGATGCTGTCCAATACTTCCCTTGGCGTGGGAGAATTAGAGCTCAAATCCACTGTCGTCATCTCTCATTTGTTTCATGATGTCAGTCAGTCATTCCTAACTAACCCTTTCTCTTGTAATTATTAAATCACGAGCCCCAGCAAGCACTTGCTGTCAAGACTCTCCAGTTCAGAGCAAGGAGGCAACTTCCTTTGAGAATTATTTTTTCTACTAGCTACGTTTAAAGTTGCTTTTCAGCTTCCTCTGTAGTTTTATTTGTGACAGCTCTGAGAATGTAAAGTGATTCTGCTCTGGTGAATCCTGCACCAGCTCTCTTCCTCTTTTTTTCTCCTTTCTTTTCTCTTATCTCCTGTTCTTCCATTGAGGTGATACTGATTTACATCTCTCAAGTTTCCTCCTATAATCAGAAGTTTGTGGTGTGACTGACCTCTTAGGTCAGGTAGCATTAGCACTGTTAGAAAGCTGTGTCTGTGGCCTAGGGTTTTAGTATGTGGTGTGTAATGTGCTGCACAGAACAATCAATTACATAAATAACTCCGTAGGTAGGGCACAGAATCTTCCCTTAGGGTTTCACTGAAGAAGAAGCCAAATCAGAAAGACTAATGCTAGTCTCAAATTCTTACAAGGATAAAGAGGCTGGGTAAAGGCCAAAACTGCCTTCCATTTGATGATCTAATTTCACATTGAAGAACAATTTGCTTGAATACTAGAGGGAAGAACCCCTCTGCCCCATTTAAGTTTAATCTTTAATTCATAGGAAAAGTCTCCATTTGATATGCTC